GAGGGGGAGGGGGTGGCAGTGGGAGGGAATCCCTCACACTCTCCCTCTCCCTCCTCAGAACATACTTACTGACTGCTTTGGGTCGCAGTTGTTGCGTTTCTGGGATTGTGTTGCGCCTCACCGGCTCGCGGCGGGTAATCTCTCTCTCTCTCTCTCTCTGTCTCTCTCTCTCTCTCTCTCTCTCTCTCTCTCTCTCTCTCTCGGTACACATACTCACATGCCCGACACATGCACACCGACGCACATCAACAGGCTTATCGCCCCACCGCCAGCTTGCTCACAAATCCAGGACAAAGTGGGTATCATCGTCGCCTTATTGCAGCATACGTGAATAACCTGACACAATGAAGTACGGACTTGGTCGAAAAAAACACTCAACGACCAAAACATAAGAAATAATATCAAGTTTAATGGGCGGTATAACCCACACACACATGTGTCGCCATAAGCTAATTTTCTTTTTCTATTGTTTAGTATTAAGTTTCCGTAAAAAGAAATGGAAAATGACTTCCAGTTACTCACTGGCTGACCCCCTCCTCATAGTAATCGTCATAGCAATCGCCGTCCTCCGCATCGTCCTCATCGTACAGGTCGGGCCACGCCTCCTGGCAGGTGACCTTGAGCACCAGCAGCGCGCTGGACCGCCGGCGCCGGAGAGAGCCGCGTCGGGCCCAGGACGACGACGACGACGTCGACGCCGTCGACGAGCGGCGCCGGCGCACAGGTGGCACCAGCACGTCGCCTGGCGCCTCAACGAACACGTCCTCGTTGGAGACCTCCCCGTGCACGTACTCGACGAGGAGGCCGCCGGCGAGCGAGTCAGAGAAGCGGTCCATGGCGCAGCGTCCTCATATCCGTTCAGCTACAGCTCACACTCACAGCTCACTCACACGCACACACACGCACACGCACGGGTTGGCTCCCTTCGCAGGAGCTGGCGCAGAGCCGCGGCGACAACGATAGCGACGCTGTACGAAAAAGTGACTGCAGAGCATGATCCGCGTCGCGACGCCCGTCCGCTCCGCTCGTCAGCGCGGCCTCCTGGCGTCCTGTTTATCAGTACAGCACGCAACCCCCACCTCGCCCCACCCACCCCCACCGGCACAATGACGTCCGGACGCTGCATCGAAACGACAAAATCCACGCGCATCGTTGCGATATAATTTCTTTGGCCAGGACTGACAGCACACCGCAAACTCAAGTGTATGAATTTCACACACTTGTAGGTGAAAGATTGTCGAACTCTTGTAGGTCCGTGAACGCCTTTCGAACACATAGAGGCGCAAGCGTTTGGATTTCAAAAGAAAATTCACACCTTTACTCCCTTTTCTATGCGAATAGACATTCACACACCTTCAAGTGTGCGACATTCACACACTTGCGTTGCCAGTGCATAACGCGGAGGGTAACGAGGGAGCAGCGCCACCACAACTGAGGCAGCAGCTGGAGCCAACCACAAGGTCGAAGGGGAACCGAAAAAAAAAAATCATTATTATGTTTGGTTACACAACCTGACTCTATGGAGCAGCATCGTTCAACATCGCTCTGCGATAACGTGACAGCGCATTGCGGTACGTATTGCTGTTGGGATGCGCTCGGCGAGGTTTACCATTATTATTGAGCGGTGTGCACGTAACGACGCATTCAGATTCCTATCCCCCGTAACGTAATAATATCGCGATAAAGCAGCCCGCGGCCGCCGGAGCGATTGTATCGAATTAACATCGAGAGCATCGAGGGCTCGAGCGCACAGCATCCTCCACAGTGCGCTCCAGCGGCCACCAACAGACCCGACCGACGACAGGACGAGTATTACGTATCATAATTGAAACCATAAGGGCAATCCCTCCGATAAACAGACGGCTTTGGACAGCAGGCCGCCTCGGGAATCAAATAATACCGATACCAATCTGTGCGTTGCCCCCCCCCC